TTAGTCGGTTTGCCCGCGTCTTAGAAGGGGGGGGGGGGTAAATAAAGCATTTAAAAAATTTTCACAGTTTGACAAAATTGGTGTTGGAAAATGCGGAAGCAATAGAAATAACGCAGAAATAAAAAGTGTACAGTAAGAACACACTAATTTTAGACAGGTTCGAGAACTCCCTACTCCGGTATCTCAAAAGTGTGTGTATAAAAATCAGGAGAATAAGGCTTTTAAAATCGCCACAATATAAAGAATGAAGAATAAAATGATGAACACACTTAAAATAAAGAAGTAGGATGTTTAGAGCTTGGTTTTTTGTTAAATTATAAAGGATTAGGCATGTATTTTAGTGACAGGTGTTAATTAGCCGTTGGAAAGTGATTAGGGTTAATTTAATTCAAAATCTGCAATCAGGAATAGTGTTCCAACGGCTCTAGGTACCAGTCATGGTAAGGATGTACCGTCTGGTGTCTAGGTACCGTGCGTAAAGTAGGGGCCTACTAGAGAGGTTACCGGAAACCTTCAAAACCCAACCGCTTTGGGAGTCTCTATGGCCTCACGGTACCATGGTACCGTAGGGACTAGGTATGGCAATTCAACTCGAATCCGACCTTAACCGACCCGACCAACCACTAAAATATTCGAACCCGAACCGGCAATAAAATAATCCAAACATGACTCAAATTTTTTTACCCGAATCCGACATTCGATCGGGTCGGATGTGGATTTATAATTTTACCCGACCCGCACCCGCACCCACACCCAATCCGATTCAAACCCGAATATTTTATAGCATAAAAGCCTATCTATGGATATAATGAGCACTCTGTATAATTTCTTGAAAAGGTGCTACTATATTAAGTATGTCTTTTATAATTATTTTTATAATTCCTTAATAAAAAATGAGACAAAAAAAGATATAAAAAATAGATTTAATCTTTTTAAAATTATTGTGGTATGTCAAATTGATTATGGATTAAATTACGGATTCAGGTTTGGGTTCAGATTTTGGATTTAAATGTCGAATTCGAGTCGAGTCAGGCTTTTGGCTTAAAAATCAGGTTTCGGGTCGGGTTTGGATATACTATTATCCGACCTGAACCCGACCCATTGCCATCCCTAGTAAGGACGGTAGGGCCTACCTGGCGACGGTAAGGCGTATAGTAAAGGGTGCCGTGTGCATGTCCTAGTTTTTCCAAAATTTGTTTAGTCCTTCTCGTTTGAGTTTAAAACCTTTTGGATATTTGAGAATGTTTATGAGATGGTTTTAAACATGTTTTGTGAGTGCTTTTGGGCTTGTGAATATATATATATATATATATATATATATATATATATATATATATATATATATATATATATATATATATATATATATATATATATATAAAATCATATCCTTACACTGTTTCTACATATATTCTATGTTAATTTGGTGTTTCAACTCATTCTTGAGAACCAAATCTTAATGGATTCTTGTTGTACCTGAAACACCTAAACAAACGTTTAGCTCTTATATTGTTTGTTAATATTAAAACATGAGGCTTAGTAAACCAAGTTTAACATTTATTCTATGGTGATGAAGTATTAATTAATGATAATATGTATATGAATAATTTATTATTAAATATTTTTCTTGGTGTTTTGTCTTTTTTGTATTGAGACAATCCTATTAAAGTTTATTAGCAAGTTGTATCGTGGAGCAACCGAACAATTTGGTCTCCTTCGTTGTATCTCAAAAGTTCTATCTTGTAACCTCTGTTGCTTATCATATGATAGATAAGAAATTTTTAAGAAAGTGTTCACATTGATCACGCGCCTTAAAGGTTTATCAACCATGTTCTGAAGTGCCTATGGCTTGACCCCCTTTATTAGGATACGTAGGTAACTTAGAATGTGTTATTTTTCTAAGTGCAGTCACAACAATAAAATTACTTTTTATTAATCCAACACCTTATTCACCACATTGCTTCCAAGTACCGGGTATGAGCAAAAAATTTCAAAAGTTTTCCGATTTTTACAACAATATTTACATCAATCGTCTAGGTTATACAAGTGACAAAGAGGTATTGAGGATGACGCTTGAAATATGTCAAACAAAATTTTGTCCATTTTGGCATCATAAGGCGTGAAGAATTTTCAACAGCAATTTAAAGTGGGCCCGTGTTCCAAAAGAAGTCACCCAGTCAAAACGGACCAATACACCCGAATCGAGAGGCTTTTGTCCCATCGGATTTTATGTGCGATGGATGTCAAACAAAAGTGATTACGATGATATCATACCAACGCCCACAGAATCGGAACTACATGTCGGGAGGAATCACGCAAAAAAAGAGGCATCTTCGCAAATGGCTATCGAACCTGTGGGAAAGGGTTCGAGGGTCTCACCACTACCTTGTCGATCTTTACTGAATTAGAGAGGCTTCGGCTTAAGCATCAAGCGAGAGCAAAGAAACTTGAGCTCGAATGTTAATCAAGAGTGGAGAAGTTTGAGCTCGAACACCAACGGCTTGTAGGGTGCGTTGTTCATCAGTCCAAGACCGGACCAAACTGAACAAAATCACGGATCGAAGACTGGACCTATATGTATTTGGGTTTGAGCCGGACGGGAATGAAATACTTCGGACCGAACTGGTCCGGACCAATTGGACCAAAAATTTTTTTTAAATATTTTGAAAACTAATATGAAATAATTTTTTTTTGAAATGTTAAAAAAATTATTTAATAAAAAATATTTTAATTAAATAAATTAAGAAATCTATCAAAATTGAGCATTAACATGTTATACCAAACTTAAAATAGAGTTTTAGTGTTTATGTTTTTACGTCCAATAGGGTTATTAGGTCCAATCGATCTGGACCTAAATCATTTCAAGTTTGGACCATACCGGACCAAAGTCCAAATGCTTAAATTTTATGGACCGATTCGAAATCCAGTTGTTCCGATTCGGTGGGTTTTTTTCACCGGACCTAAGCTTGAACAGCTCTAACAACTTAGACAAGAAGACTTCAAAATAATGACTGACGTTGGGAATCTTTGTTCGATAGTGTATTCGTGGTGATAAGGCTGAAAGACAAGAATACAAGATATCAAAGAGGTTGCTTAGAAATGCAAGCGACAAGATATTATAATTTTTTAATATGTATTTTATACGCGCTATTATTTAAGAATATTTCGACTTTAGTGTAATTCTTAATTAAATTTAAATGAAAACTTCAATTGAAATTTTAAGTTAAGAAAATTTTACACTAAGTGCATTTTGTACTACGGAGTATTTAATTGTATTTTATGTTTTTAGTTTAATTGTTTTAGCTAATTTAAATGTTAAAAAATAATATTAATAAATGAAAAGGAAAAGGAAACAGAAGAAAATCGCACCTCTTAAAGAAAAAAAAGAAAGGTACAAGGGAACCAGGCTTGGGCTATGTTCCGTACACCTAATCTAATTAAATTTTATCTAAATACTTAAAGTTCTAGTCTAATCTAATTAGATCTACTATGATTGAACTGATCTGGTTTTAATAAAAATAAATAATAAATAGAAAAAAAAATTATAGAACGGAACCTTATTTGTTGAAAGATCTCAATTGAGCATTGCATCAACGCTGGCCCAACAAGTTTCCTATTAAAATATATATCGAATCTTTTTGTTGTCAAAATGTTTGACACATTCTCATAAATATGAACCAACAATTCCAAACCAAACAGCTTAGTATTACTCCGTAAAATTTTTCGGTTTCTACCTTAAAGAATTTGACCGTAGTATACACTACCTCCGTCCCGTTTTAATTTATTTGGTCAATTATTTTCAGTTTTTAACCTATAATTAAATAAATTAAATATTGTATATTAATTAGATAACATGATAATTTGAAAATATTTGATATAATAAATCTAATAAAAATAATTTTGTATCAATATCTAATATCAGTTTTTGTTAATTTGAGGTCAAAGTTTACTAATTTTGACTGAAAAAGTCAATAGTAAACAAATACTCCGGGACGAAGAAGTATTAATTAGTTATAGAATGGCCACGAAAAAATATGTTGTACATATCAATTTTCTTCCCTAAACACAAATTAGAATCACCCAACATTTTATTTCATTAAAAATCATATCAAATCAAATCCAAAAGATAACTACAAGACAGAGGGAGTAATAAAATAGCAACTGGTCAATATTACATCTCAATGCTCATCAGTCATCATAGATCATCTAGAAAGAACCCCTCTATGTTTAAAACATTGGGATCAATCAATATTGCTACCTTAAACTTTCCCTTACCCCAAATTCCCCCCCCCCCCCCAAGGATAATATTGTATTCCGTATTAATGAAATTCTGGGCAATAATGTAGCAAATGCACCAAAGGGTTCTCTAATTTAACAAAGATAAAGTTGCACACACACACACACCATTTCTTGTTTTTTTTTGTATTTAAGCATTGAAAACTGGATGTCTATTGTCTCCTATTGAACTAAAAATTCACTATTTTGTACTTTGGGATAATAATGGAATAAAACAAAATGACTCTTTAAACTATTTGCACTTCTTCTATAGTGGAGTACTCTGACTCTCCCATAGGTAATGCTGTGGAAGCATTTTAAACAAAACACAGACAAGTCGACAACGCGTGGAAGGACTGGTGCAAAATAAAATTTTTGTACTTTTTATTCATTCCTCTACTAAATTACATAATCTCCACGAGCAAATGTAATGAAATTCAGTCTACCTATTCAATAGGATGGAGCTCATGGAAGTGATAATAGAACAACAAAATTACAGATTCCATTTCACACAATGACACAAACCCCATTCCTCACAGATTGTGTATAAAAAACTATGGCTATATAGATATACTTATATAGTTATATTTCAGATAAACAAATATCCTTCTATGCCTACAGCTATGGGTTTGCTTGTTGGATTGGAAGAAAGAAAGAACCTGTGATTTGGACATTGCGACTCAGAAAGGATGTTTAAAACAATGCAATTGGTAAGCCACCACCACATTTGATCACAGCAAAATACATTTGACGGTACACAGAAAAACAAAGTGTTTGGGATCCACTGCTGCCATGATAAAAACAAGACAGGAGCCTGCAGAACATTATCAAGACATCAGTAAAAGGTTACCAAAGGGTGTTGTTTTTATTCAGGAATTATAAATCATTATTTCTATATACACGTTTGTGACTGTCTTCTTATTAGTTGGTGTTTTAAATTTGCATTTAGTGCTAGGCAGGCTACAAGTTTGGCAAGAACACGCAGGGTAAAGACAGGAATAGAAAGACATAAAAGGCCAAAGTTTGGCACCGGAAAACAACACATAAAGATAATATGGAATGAAAGGAGTAGCTTATCATGCTAACCTTAATAAATTAATAATCACCCATCATTTCTGATTATTGATTTGTCAATTACTGCACCTTCTATCTAATGTGTGGAAGAGATTTCAATAAAAGGTAAACCCAATACAAAATGGTCTAGGAGTACTCATGGCCACCTACTTTTGATAATTTCCTACTTCATCTATCCGTTAGAAGTTAATTATGTAGCCC